TAAAAATCACAGCAGTTCTGCTATACTGAAAAAGCAATTTAACATTATATGTGTCAAATTTACACACAAATTCTAAACAGCTACAGTGCACATCAACTAGTTTGTATAATGAGAGACTAACAACTGAAGCATGGATAAAGTCCACACGCATAACGACTTCAAGCACCTGTCATGTGACAATAAAAAGCACTCAGAAAATTACTTGCATCCATTTTGACATTTTTTGCTGATACATTATCAGGATTCGACACTAAGGCACGTATGAACGATATTGTCTACTAAACAGCTGGTCTGGACTAGTTAAAACCGTGTCTGGCTTGTCTGACTGTTTGTGTAGATATTTAGTGAACGCTGTTTCAAATCACTGTGTTTGTTTATTTTGGTTTTTAACTTTCTTGCACAGCGTCATCTATCATAATGAGTATTATACAGACTGTTATCAAGCTTATTTATTCTTCCACAACTGCATAATAAGGTCTATTAAGTATGAAATGACTATAAAAGCTAATGATTAACGCTCTTCAGAAAAATCAAAAGTTATGGTATACAGTATTCATAATCAACAAATGAAAACAACAATTATCACATAGTTTTGTGTTTGATATAGTTTGTTATGACCAACTCGTCCACCGATCTAGTGGTAAAAATGTTAAGATCAAACCCTGATTATGAATGCAGATAGCTAACTTGATGAGTATTTCAGCTTAAAGGTCTTGTGGTGTACACAGTCAAATAACATGTACACATTTCTATGTTATTGACACTCTGAAGACTGTTTCCACAGGGGCCAGTAAGCCAGCATCTTGTTTCTGCCACTGAGATGTTACATCCTGATAGAGAGGATATATGACGTATACACCAGTAGAAGTGAAACTCAGAATAGACATTGCCTCTGTGGGCAGGGCTCTGACACTGGTGGAGTATCTGCCCAACTCTCTTTGTACCATACCGGAACTACTTTAAGCTGCATTGCCTGCGTCCTTCCACATATCCTCACTAACTGTAACACTTGATAAACCTCATCCTAAGATTCTAAATGACCTATCAACTATTCAGTATGACATGTGTTTTTGTAAACAAGATTGAGAACTGTTGGTGTTACCAGCACTGTTACTGATTTGACAAGACGTACTGACTGTGGTATATACTATGGGACATGTAGACTGTGGTATGTACTATGGGACATGTAGACTGTGGTATGCACTATGGGACATGTAGACTGTGGTATGCACTATGGGACATGTAGACTGTGGTATGCACTATGGGACATGTAGACTGTGGTATGTACTATGGGACATGTAGACTGTGGTATGTACTATGGGACATGTAGACTGTGGTATGTACTATGGGACATGTAGACTGTGGTATGCACTATGGGACATGTAGACTGGGTATGTACTATGGGACATGTAGACTGTGTGCACTATGGGACATGTAGACTGTGGCACTATGTAGTAGACTGTGGTATGCACTATGGGACATGTAGACTGTGGTATGCACTATGGGACATGTAGACTGTGGTATGTACACTATGGGACATGTAGACTGTGGTATGTACTATGGGACATGTAGACTGTGGTATGTACTATGGGACATGTAGACTGTGGTATGTACTATGGGACATGTAGACTGTGGTATGTACTATGGGACATGTAGACTGTATGTACATGTAGACTGGTATGCACTATGGGACACTACGGGGACATGTAGACTGGGTATGCACTATGGGACATGTAGACTGTGGTATGCACTATGGGACATGTAGACTGGGTATGCANTATGCACTATGGGACATGTAGACTGTGGTATGTACTATGGGACATGTAGATTGAGGTATGCATTATGGGGCATGTAGACTGTGGTATGCACTATGGGACATGTAGACTGTGTGTACTATGGGACGTGTAGACTGGTATGTACTATGGGGCATGCAGACTGTGGTATGTACTATGGGACATGCAGACTGTGGTATGTACTATGGGACATGTAGACTGTGGTATGTACTATGGGACTAGACTGTGGTATGCACTATGGGACATGTAGACTGTGGTATGCACTATGGGACATGTACTATGACTGTGACTGGTATGTACTATGGGACATGTAGACTGTGATGTATGTAGACTGGTATGACTATGGGACGTGTAGACTGTGGTATGTACTATGGGACATGTAGACTGTGGTATGCACTATGGGACATGTAGACTGTGGTATGTACTATGGGACATGTGGTATGTACTATGGGACGTGTTGACTGTGGTATGCACTATGGGACATGTTGACTGTGGTATGTACTATGGGACATGTTGACTGTGGTATGCACTATGGGACATGTAGACTGTGGTATGTACTATGGGACGTGTTGACTGTGGTATGTACTATGGGACATGTTGACTGTGGTATGCACTATGGGACATGTAGACTGTGGTATGTACTATGGGACATGTAGACTGTGGTATGCACTATGGGACATGTAGACTGTGGTATGCAGCTTTGGGACATGTTGACTGTGACATGGGATATGAATCACAGCTTGATATACATTACAAGAAATCAATTGTGTCTTTTACTTCTGTCACAATAAATGTGATTCCAGCTGTTACCGGTAAGATTCAATCGACACTGCTGCTCGTCTGTGAATATGTTCTTCAGTAAACAGGTCTAATACTGTTCTCCCTGAACAATAACTGTCGAACCGATATTTATCCAAGTCTGACTCAATCGGTTTTCAAATTGTCACAGTGACTGAGTTAGTCAGAGATATGACCTTGAGTGAGTGAGTGAGTTTAGTTTTTCGCCGCACTCAGCAATATTGCAGCTATATGTTTGCAGTCTGTAAATAATCAAGTCTGGACCAGACAATCCAGGGATCAACAGCATGGACATCGATCTGAGCAATTGGGATATGATGACATGTGTCAGCGAGTCTGACCACCCGATCCTGTTAGTTGCCTCTTACAACAAGCATGGTTTGCTGAAGACCAATTCTAACCCGGACCTTCATGGATAGATATGACTTTGATGAGATGGAAGTATATGCGTTGTTTCGAAAACAGCTCATCATGAAAGCATTATGATGAAAGAAAATTAAACTGTGGAATTATGGGAGCTTACGATAAACAATAGCAGTATAAATGGTAATGGAATAAGTGATCAACCCTTAATTCTTCTTTTTACAGGATATGTTTAAGTTATTGCTGCGTGGCAGTAGATGGAGTCATGGCACTACATCAAAACCCTACGGCCTACACTGGGGTGAGCATGCAGTGAGTACTCTACTAGGCATCCCATACTCAGCCCGGGGTGGAGTTATCCATGGTTACATCTTAACCTGGACACGGGTGGCCATATGAGAAAATCCCTTTTCAAATCCTATCAAGTGACAATGATATAGCTATATCTTTGAAAAGATCAATTTATCTATTTGTTGTATATCCACACTCAGCAACCTGACAGTGGCCTGTACGGAAAAAGTCTGGAAGAGATAATCCAGAGACTGGTTTTATTACACATAACCAGCCAACCACAGCAACACAACAATTTATATTGTCATTATTGTTGGGAATAGGAAACTAAATCCACTATAGATTATCAGAGGATAGTGGTGAATGATTATCAATTATAATCCAAATATATACATTTTTAATGTAATCATTAATATTAATGGTTTTTTCCCAGGTTTTTTCTAAATTAATGGGTTTTATATAACTAATGCTGTCATGCAATGAAATGCACGCATGCAAGAAAGACAATGGAATTGTAATTTAACAATAAACGTGATTAAAATTTTACAATGTGCATAGCTTTACGCTGTTGAGCGCATGTTTGTTCGTGAATTTTCGTCAAATTTGATGGTAAGTTTACTTCATTCAAGAGTGTTATACAAAAACAACAAAATTCCGATTAATCAAAAATATGTTTTTTACAATGGATAATCATTTTTAATCCTTCTTTCGATCGATTTTCGAACCTCGGAACATCCCTAATTGTCATTGTGGCAAATATTGATTTGTTGCATAATGAATGGTCCGTGCACAGAAACCTAACATGACAATCACAATATGTCACCCAGTTAATATCAAAGCAACAATTTATCTTGCATTGTGGGAAATGATTAGCAAAGTTTGGTGACACCCAGATTTTATCTAAATTCATGAAGTGTATCAGCATGATCATTTTCAGTGGGCTGATTCCATATTTCAAAATAATTCAAACTGATGCAAAATGTGCCTGAAACATTTCCTTGCCCATCCACATGCATAGACATGGCCACTAGTGAGTCAAGAGTCTGAAAATTTAGAGAAACTAGTCAATTTTATCCTAAAATGTAGTATCTTTACATACACTACTATAGTCTTAATCAAGTTGCTGATATGAAAAATAATGTCTGTCCCTGCCACACTCTCAATCATGACCACCAAAAAGTAAGAAACTTGTACCCTTGGTTTTGGATACCTCTGCACTTACAAATTCTACTTGCCTTACATATTCCTTTATCATAATAGTCAAACTAACTAGCCCAGTGCAAAAGTTGCAAACCTGGAGAACATGCCATAAAATGGCAAACTAACTAGCCCAGTGCAAAGTTGCAAACCTGGAGAACATGCCATAAAATGGCAAACTAACTAGCCCAGTGCAAAGTTGCAAACCTGGAGAACATGCCATAAAATGTGAATTAATATTATGGTATTTAGTCTGTTGGTCGTCATAATAAATAATGCAATAGTATTATTCTGAGTTGTGGGATCAATGCAATGAAACATCCAACGTATATCTTCCTGAAGTACGGGGAAACACAAAATACAAAACAGGTTCAATGTCCATAGAGGGGTAAGGTTGACAAGGTCAGCACCCCACCCAATCAATCATCACTGGTGGCAGTATCAAGATCGTCATGATTCATCAAGCCAGGTAGACCGGCAAGGACATGTGGCCCTCAAACATAAAAACTCAACACCTTACAAAAGCAGCCTTATCATGCATTCTGTCTGTGAACTTACATAGAGCATGGATCTGTTAAACCCTGTCATAATAGTGTGCAACTGTTGCTAGGTGGGCCACTGACGATGAATTCCTTTGAAGGTTATTCCTATGGTCTGCACTCATTCAGCAGCCATTGCAAGCACACTACAAGTCACGTGACCAGTCTAATGAAAAGCTATTTTTAGATGAGGAAACTCCCGAGGCCCATTTAGGGTTGTGAATTGTTTGGATGGAGCATCTCGTGAGTGGTGTGGTCTACATTGCATTACTGCTTTGATTATTTTCAAATATGCATGCAGAAGCTAAATATTGTTAAATAACATATTTGTCTCCCAGTCATAGTGTAATCTTTAGAGGGGAATTTCCAGATCAGTACACATAACTTAACTGGGAAGCTGAGGACCCTGTTTTAAATTATTGCTAATTATAAATGAGACCATATACCGATATGATTATTTTATTTTTTTTATTTCCATTTTTATGTTACAATTTCCATTACAGCAGCTTTATGTTCTTCAATTGAAAGTATTTTAAGTGTACAGTGAGTAGTGTTGATGTAAATACATAACGTGTACATTACCTCTTACATATAGTACACATATATACAAAATACATGTAGTTACAGTAGGTCATTTAAAGTATTTCGAAAAAGTAAATGGAAGGATGACCAGAAAGAATGAAAACTTGCATAGTTACAATTAGAAAAGGCAATAAATTTTGAGATTTCATAATATTTTAATACTTCTTTTGAAACCATATAAAATTAGGTTTCACTGCTTTCTTACTACATTTATACAACATATATTTGATTATTATTATCACCACATTAAGAGGATTATTATGTTTTACCTTTAAATCCAAATAATATATGTTCTTCACTTAAGTGAATTTTACTTTCCATGTATCCTTCAATCCATTCAGTAAATTTTGTCCAAATATCTATTGCATATTGACAATTACAAAGCACATGTGCTATAGTTTCAGCTGGATCTTTACACAATGAACATGCTGGTGACTTAACATAGCCAATCTTATATAAATAACAATTAGTGCTGAGAATATTATGTAAAATCTTAAACTGAAACCATCTTAAGTCACTGCTTTGTGTACATCTTTTTGCCATCAAACTATAGTTTATCCATTCTGTTTCAGTAATGTGTTTATTAAGACAAAGCTCCCATTTGCTATAGCTTTTAAGTTTTGTAAATTTAGAATTTTGCAACATTTCATAAAATAATCTACTACCTGAAGTACTGTTGATTTTAGAAATATTATAAGGTAATATTGGTGTTTGAGAAATGTCTTGTATTTGACTAAAGTTAATTCTTTGTAAGTATTGGAAGACAGATAGATTGTTTCAACCCTTGAAATGTTAAAAGTCTGTATTCAAAGTATATTTTGAATAAATTCATGGAAATTAAACCAATTTCCTGTATCGTTGAAGAAATCGTTAATATATGTTATACCTTTTTCATACCAATGGGAAAAATATACTGGCTTATTATCAATTGTTATGTTATTATTGTACCAGATTGACTTATTCATTACATCCATAACAGATAGTTCAATATTATCACAACAATTTAAATATGATGCATATACTGACAGTGTTTCTTTCCAAAACTGGTTGTGGATATTTTGGACAATATTGTTTTCTATGTAGAAAGCATCAGCCAAATTTACTACCGGTATGTTTGCCTCAACTAAATGGTCATAAAAGAAACATGCCCATTTGGACTTACTCACAAATACTCTTTTGATCCAACAAAGTTTCTGAGCTGCAATAACTTTTCTAATATGGGTACACTTATGCCACCATACTTAGGCTGAAGTGACATTGTATCTCTCTTGACTTTATCTGGTTTAAATTTCCAAACAAATTGAAAACATTTCTTTTGAAAAGCTTCTATTATATTTTTAGGTGGGCTTGGTATACTGCTGAATAAATGGTTTAGTTTAGGTAGTAATAATGATTTTAACACAATATTTCTACCCATTGGTGTTAAAGTTCTCTTTGTCCAATGTTCCATTTCTTTTTCAATATTATCTAATTTATTTACATACCTGGGTAGTTCAGATTAAGCATATTTACTAAATCAATATCAAATTCAATACCTAATAGCTTAAACTGTGTTTGTGTCCAGTCTAACTTATACTCTTTACAGAGTTTGTATCTTGATCTCTTTTTGGAACCTATCCATATCAATTTGTTTTTTTCTGTGTTTACTTTTAATCCTGACTGACTGACTGAGTTTGGTTTTACGCCGCTTTTAGCAATATTCCAGCAACATCACGGCGGGGGTTTTAATCCTGAAAATCTGGCAAAAAAGGATAATGTACTCATTGTAGAGTAGAGACTTTTTTCTGATCCATCTAAACTAAGGGTGGTATCATCTGCAAATTGTGCTAGAAGGGAATATATATTACCAAGTTTTAATCCTGTTATATTTTTATTATTTCTTAACATTATTGCTGGGATTTCTGCGCATAATATGAAGAGATTATGGTGATATAGGATCCCCCTGACGACAACCTCTTGTAACCTTAAAGAAGGGGCTTGCAAAACCATTAACCAAAACACTTGTTTCAATGATTTCGAAAAATAATTTTATCCAATTTTGAATACTGGGCCCAAAGCGGAAAAAGTTAAGTACATTATGTATAAATTTTCTATCCACAGAATCAAAATCCTTTTCAAAATCAATAAGTAGTAGTAAGCCTGGTATCTGGTATGATTCTGTATAGTCTAATATATCATAAATAAGTCTAGTCACTTCACCTATATATCTACCCGATACAAAACCCTTTTGATCCTCATGGATAATCAGTGGTAAGATATGATTATGAGCAAGTATCATCATCATCATCATCATCATCTAACATATGTTACATCTGGGATTACACTTTCTTAGTAAAGTACAGATTCTTGTACTTTTGTTGGGTTGAATCCCATCCAGGATTTGAACCCACACCCTCAGAATCAGGCACCTAATCATCATCACCATCACTTCTATATATTTCAACTCACCACAGGCATCTGAAGTTCTCATTTAAAAACTTTCTTTTTTTCTTCAATAACAAAACTTCTCTATATTTACAATTTAAAATACCTATTCTTTTGTTGTTTCTATATATAGAGAGAATGGTGTTTTATTGTAAAAAGAACATGAATAGATTATTTTAATCAGAGTTTCACATTCCTGAAATTGCCAAAAGAAAACTGGTACCTCCTGCTAGTCTGAAGAACCAACTATAGCCAGGTGTTCGAGAACGGATGGAGACGGCACAGCACAGGTTAATGAATAAATAACATTGTCTGTGAACATGCTTCTCGAACACCTGGCTGTCCCTTTCTCTGCACTCCTCCCTTGTAACAAAGTGAACTGTGTCAATATTTTAATGATAGTTTGTTAAACAACTTTATTACTTTTAGGACAAAAATTCTGCAAAAACCTCACAGAGTTGGTATGATGTTTTGATTATGATCAGCGTTTCATTGAGTATGTTATGTTTATTAGTTTTCGAGTTAGATTGCAATTCATCGATCCGCTTTTGAGCCAAACGGACTGTAAACTGCGGATCAGGGGGTTATAATGACCTGGCTGATACTGAGCAAACCTACTTTCCCAACAACCATGCACTCCACCACCATGACCTTGTAATACAACAAAAGCCTACTGTGTAGACCACACCAAACAGCTGTGCATTGCAGTACAAACTCTGACATACTCTGGTGTAGTGATATTTCAAAAGCAGAATCAATAAGTTCACCTGTGGTGATGGCCTCTGTAAACAAGGTACACAATAACACTTAAACTTCATATGCTGTGTGAGGTACACATTAATTTGCAGGGACGAGGCAGCCACAGCGTCTATCAGTGTCAGCTGTGTTCAAGAATCAGGGGGGTCCTGGGTAGAGGTGTAATGATACGGTGTGGCCACAATATGATAAGTATCCTGATAATATGGATGCGATACAATTTGTATCTCAATATCATACCAGGGTTTTACCTTGACTCACAAACATGGGGGTAACTATCAGTTTTATGGGACCTCACAGGAAATATGAGGGACCTGTGAAGTAACAATGTAGAGAACTGTACGTTTTGATAATTTCTTCAGAGCCTGGAATGAATCATTGATCATATCAGAGCTACAGATAACCTTTTGGGTCATTAGGTTATGTACTCGCTTGTGTTCATCTCAATTGGGTATCCTAATTTTCCTTTGAGTAACCAAATAAATTCTACTCACCTCACTCAAACTCAATTAGGTATTTTGCCAATTTCCTTCTTTCCCTTTTGGCAGGTGACTCACAATCCTCAATCAATCTCTCCTCTACATTCTAGGGGTGAAACGGTATACCGCAGTATTTTGCCTTCGGTTCGGTATACCGCAATGCAATCCAACAATTTGTTGATTTTCGTACCCTCATTTCTATCTAGTCATAAAATGACAGTATTGTTCCTTCAAAATAACAAAGATTATGGTTATTTTTTCCATGTTATTAAACAATGCAAGGCTTGGCTCTTGTCAATTTTCTGCATTATGATCACATCTCATATACCGAAGCGAAGGCCTTGTACTGCAATGCGAACCTTACCGTGGTAAGAGCGTACCGTTTCACCCCTACTACGTTCATATAAAAATGTAAAATTAGAGATGAACTGTCAGTCACAAAGATGGGATCTGTTCAGATAAGTGGATCTTATCTCAATTACACAGCTTAACCAAAATTATGAAAAAATTGATGCCTTGATGACTGTTGTCAACCTTTTGAAGCCAAAACTATTGAGATAATAATTTTAGGATTGAAACCACAGTGTGCAAAATTTACGCTGGTCCTGTGATCCCTGGCTAGTAAAAATTCATCAGGACCACTAAATGATAAGTTTGCAGTGGTCCTGGTGGCCAGTGAATTTTGCATTGATCGCTAAGTAAATCTACGAATGTTATTTTGGGCCAGTGTAGTACAGACAGGACCATTAATTATTGTCCTCTCACTGGTCCTGTGGTCTAGTGGGAAATTTTGAAAGGTTTCTTTCCCTGAACAACAATGTATTTCTGACATCACAAATTTAAAATTGCTGATAACACAATATGCCTCATCATGAATGAATTCATATTTCAATGATGTATTGATTTCCTGCACTTTGTATGAACTTCTGCAATA